TTAAAGAAAAAATAAACACAGAAAATTCGAATTTAAATGGGAATGTTTATTATCTTTCGAAAGAAAATTCTTTGCCATTTATTATATAAATATTTCTATTATTTCTTTCAAATGTTGGCTGCGAATACGTCTCAGTTGTTCCATCCGTTATGTCCAATTTTCGATGATTCGTTCGAGCATTTCAACTGGTAACTGGCAAATGACAAGCGTGATGTTTTGCTCCAAGTCGAGATTGCCCGTATAGACTTTAGGCTTTACATATCCCCACATGATAGTGGTGGACAATCGACTGGTCCAAAACGTCAAATTAACTGTTAATTGAAGTGTACTCTCAATAAATCCATTAATAATGTTGCGGGCTTCAATTTCAGGCATCAAATAGACGGTTGTGATCTCACCCTCAACATTTTTGAAGAAACATAAATCGATGACCGTTGTTTTTGCTGGATGAAATGGCTGCGCTTTAAGCTCTTCGGGTTGCTCTTTGTCCCGATCGCGGTAACTTCGCTTATTTACATACCCGTTGAGCCGGATAGAGGGCTCATCGCCGAACAGAATTTGGCTCGAAAATCATTCCACGGTCTCTCCACGGTCTTCGTGTGCACTCTCAGCTTGGGCTGCTATATTTTCTTCACTGCATGTTGGACGTGATATCGAATATTATCCAATAATGAATGCTGGGTCTGAAGTTGGGTGATGGTGTTGCGATCAGTACGCTCAGTAGGCCGATTATGTTCACCATAAGTTTAGCGAACCGCGCTTGGCACGGCTAATCTGTCATAAAAAGGATTCTGAAAGAAATACCTCTATTTAGATCATCCGCTATAATATAACTGGGGGAATGTAATCGATGAATTTGTTTTGAGCCGAGCTCCATCTCCAACTTGTGGCAAGCTTTTTGGTGTTTTTCCAGCAAAACGGAATAACTTATAGTTTATACTAAGCTTCCTCCGAACTGCGAATGATTTTTTATGAGGGGCTTCTATTTCATGTCAGCCGTACAAACAAACATCTTGATATTCCCTGCCCAGGTGCGACCGCAATTCCAAGACTCGAATCCTGACAGTCAGAAGACAGTACGCAAAACTCACAACTTTGCAGTCGAATATAACTAAAAAATTAAAAGTAGTCTGAAGTCTTTTTGAGATGATCTCAATTCTGTTCCAAGAAATATGAAGAGAAAACGGTTTAATTTTTTAAACTCACTCCTCAGTGGTCAACCAACATTTATGCGAAATGCTCTTCAAGCAATTATAATTTGCAATAATTCCAAAATCTCCCCAATGAACCTGACAAACTGCACAATTGTTGCTGTCAATTTTATTGCTTTGCTATTTATTGGTTTAATTTCATAATCATTTTAATTTTAAATGCAATTGAATATTCAATTTTCTAAGCAAAATGCTGCAAGGTATGGTTAATATTATACAATATACAATATATAATATATATACAGACATACATACATACATACGTACACATATTCGTGCATTAACAAATAAATGTGCACAAATACATTTATTCAAAAACACAATCACTACATAGTACATAATTGCATATATATATGTGTATATATATATATGTGTAAATATATATATATGTATACATAAATGCATATTTGATTCCTTATCTTTCCGTTTCTCCTTTGCCAACCTCATTTCTCATTCAAAGCGCAAATAATTTTAATTGCTATTTAATTCAGTATTCGGATTTTGTGTACAAAGGAGGAAAACATTGGCCGAGCGGAAAATTTTATATTAAAATAAATCATATCAATTTTGACTCGGTCAACTGGGACAATAACAAATATTTATTAAATTTTCTATGTTGACGAACTAGAACCACGTGAAGGCAATATCATTTTGCTTAAAAAATTAATTTTTTAAATTTCTTATAAGGTATTTTCAATAATTGAAAGTATATGTACATGTCTATGTTAACTACATTCAAGTTTACATACAATTATGCTTAAGGACATGTTTGTGAATTTATCAGTTAGTATATTAGTAATAATCATAGCCAGCAGCTATCACTTGCATTAGCTTATGATATTATCGAAACCTTGTACAATACGCAAGTTGGTATTATGGCACAGTCAAATGTACGAAATAAGCACATTGTATTGGTAGATTTACCGTCTTCATCTTCATTGGCGTAGGCCAACAAGTGAAACCAGTACGATCTTCCTTTGAGGCTTTCCTTTTCCTCTGTTTCCAAAGGCGGGTACTGCATCGAATACTTTCAAATCTGCAGCATTCATTAGATCGACATGACTCAGGCCACATAACTGCGGTCTCTTCATTCTCTAAACTATATAAATGTCATCGTATAGCTCTACAGTCTATGGTTCCGTCGACGTCCGTATTTACCATTGCCAAGGCTCAATTGTCGGAAGCAAGTGTTATTACTTCGGATGTATTAGTACCAATCCTAATCTTAAAAAGGTTGGTAGGTAGTAATGAGGAGTTTTTCTCGTTTAGACGCAGATATAGCGAACTCTCGGTAGAGTATAATTATTCACTATGGGGTACAGGAAATTATAGCCACCAAATTGAGGCCGGCAGTGTTAAAGGAACTTCACTCCACACATTTCGGAATAGTAAAGACCAATTTTTAATAGTAATAGACGCTACTGCGGTAGCCGAGTGGTTAGCCTTGCGTACTGACATTCGGAAGCCTCGGGTTCATATCCCGGTGCCACCAACATCCAAAAGTTATGGAAAATTAATTTCAAAATAAAAAATTAAGTTAAATTTTCTAATTGCGATCCCCCCCTCCGAGTGTATTTCGGACATGAAATAAAAGGTCCTCGTAAAAAACCATCAGATGTTCGGCTCTTTGTAACCGCTTACGCGATTTTCCGCCGAGCTCCTTCTCCAATTTGTGATTTTTGTATCTTGATATTTTTCCATCAAATGAAGGAACCTACAGTTTATACTAAACTGCCAAGCGCCTGAAGGTTTTATATGAGGAGCTTTTTATTTCATGTCAGAAACACACTCGGAGGGGTGGATATTCCCTGCCAAGGGGCGACCGCACTTAGAAAATTTAAGACAATTTTTTATTTAAATAAAATTCGTACCAGGATTTGAACACCGACCTTGCGACTGGCAAAACGCAAAAATGCAAACCAATCGAATTCTTGTTTAAAAAAATGAAGTTAATCATACACACTGTTACATACGTGTATATAGAATCAGAGGCAGCGGTATGGCCACGAGGACATGCCGGGTTCACAAATTGATTGGAGAAACCTAGTTAGATTTTTAACTTTTTGTTTGTTCAATTTGTATTTGTGTTAGTTCAGGTGCGAGTGCAAGTGTTTGCATAATAAAATGCGAGTTGCTGCAGCCGAGAAAACAGTGCGCGCAAAAAGTTTGCAACTTTTGCAAAAGTCAAACTTAATTTCGGCAAATACATACCAATGTGAGTTCCATGCAAAAAACTAGAGTAATCCATACGCACGTGCAATATATACCTGCACGAGAGCAGTAGAGTACTCCAAAATTAACCACAACCCATACAAAATATGTGGTCTAATTAACAGTGAGATGACCTAAGGCCGGACCACTTACTCCACCACTGCATAGCACACTACACCGTAGAGTAACTACTCGAAATTAATTTCAATACTACTCCACAAAGAAAGTGTTTGAAATATCTACTGAGATTTACATTATGGAGAAACATTACTTTCGAACGCACTTTTTAGGCTCGAATAAAATGTGATTTGGTGAAAAGCTGGTAAAATTTATTATTTACCGCATAAATTTATATTAATAAATAAATAAAATATTTATTTCTAATATATTGTATTGCACGCCCGCATTAGCCGGCAGGGAATGTCAAACCCTCCGAGTGCCGCATGGCTTCTGGCATAAATTAAAATATCTTCACCAACTAAGCGCAACTTTCTCAATGCCATTTTAGTAATTTTTTTATGCAATCGTTAAAACACGAGTAATCAACGGCTAACAACGAACTCGACGAACCGACAGCAAGGCGTGAGTTGGTCCTACGCAGTACCATAGCGAAGTAGTCCAACAGGTACTGCAAAAGAACCATATGGTCTACAAATTTTTCCAGAATTAAGCAACTCTCATACACACACGCACACACACACAGTTACTAACATTCTCATATAAGTCAACACCTGCTATTATTGTTGTTGTGGTTGCTTATATTTACTTAGCACAGGCATAGCACACTAGCAAATTGCCACTGCTGGGTTAAGAGCGAAGAAGCAAGGAATTTAATGGGGAAACGCTAGAGCGTGTGTCTTATATGATTGTGCGTACTTAAAATGGTTTCGAAGGCTTTTTGTATATTTTCTCTTGAGCTTTCGTATATATCTTATTTTTCCTTTTTTTGATTTTACTTAAAAAAAAAACTATAACAATTGGACCGCGTGCGCAGCGAATAAAGAGTAAATAAAAAGTTTGTACTCACACTTGTAAAGGCCGTGATTAGTAATTGCAACTGCAATCCAGCGCAAATATATAGAAATATCAATACTCATACCTACACACATACACCAATTGCTGCAACTTCAGTACTCATAGTTACCCACTAAAAGGACCGCGGTCCTATGCCAGCTCGTCACCGTCATGTAGCTGAATGGCTCAATAACTTAAAATGTCTAATACACACTCACATGCGCACAGTTATATACATATCGGCAGTAGGAATTGCCTAACTGTGCATGTTAAGAACTCAAATATGCCACATATATACATATGTATACTCTCACAGCATACACGTACATATTGATAACGAGTAAATATACATGAGCCTCACAATATGATTACACGCACATACTAACATACTCCAATGTATATTATATGGTATTTTTATGTACTATGTTCAAACGTCGGCCAGAGGAGAACCTCGACAAGTCAACTACTGCTGCCCCGCACCCGCCCCCTTTACCTAAGCCCCCAAATGCCAAACTTAAACTACTCGCACTGACAACTCATCGATATGCAACGCATGCAACTTACCTCTAGGCAAACAGGACACTCCAATAATTGGGCAATGTGTTGCAGGCATGTGGCGAACTTCTGCAATGACTGCTGATTAATACTGGAATGTTGTTGATGTGAACGCTGCACGCGCTGCTATTGAATTTCCAAACGTTGTCCAAACAGCAAATATGCCAGCCGAAAGTTCGGTAAGTCATCGAGGTTGCAAGCAAATACATAGAGAGAGTGAGAGAGAGAAAGAATGTGGAAGAGCATAAAATTAGTAAAGTAAATTTAACTAAAATTAGAAGTTTACAAAATAAATGACTCCCAATTAGCTGGAAACTAAAAGGGAATTTATAAACATGAACTAAAAGCTATAAAAAACAACTTTATTAATGATGATCGGGAGTAGAGAAAAATGGCATTTCGTTGTGGAAGCAGTGTACGATGGTAAACGAGACTGCACATGCTTCTAGAGTTCTTCATACGTAAATAACTCGTTGTGACTTGAATGAAATTTTCGATAAAAAGACAATCGTTTGCACGTTGAAGAATCATCCAATATTCTAATGAATGTCTTAAATATAAGAAATATATATGTATGTATAAAACTAACTACTTTTTTCAAAATATATTGAAATTTCTTTAGCTTTTTTCTGATTCCCGAGAAGGTTTTTTCCAAAAAAAAAATTTAAGGATGTGGACCAGGAATTGAGTTACTCAAAAAAAGTTTATTTATGGCTACTTTTACTTGAAATTTGGTACACTTTTCTTCGGGAAGTGGACCGGGAACTTACCTCTTCTAAAAGTCGGATTATTCCTCTCTCCAGTGAGGAGCTCAATGTCGGTGGTAAAACCAAAAGTTTTACATTCCCCCAGGTATTGAGTAAAATATATACCATTATTCATTGTTCATACATTCAGTGATTGCGAAAGCGTACAATGCAACAACTAAAGGGTGATTTTTTAGAGATAGAGGAAAGTTTAAAAAAAAAACACATAAAATTCAGGAGAATGCATTGAATCTTTATTGGAATCGCTAGTGCGGTCTATGTAATTTAATGTTTGAAGATTATTTCATGCAAATGTTGACCGTGACACATACACTATCCAACATTTCGGCCGGTATCTCAAGAATAAATGCGTCAATTGAAGCGGGCTTGTCTGTATAGACATAAGATTTAACATAACCGCACAAAAAATAGTCTCAAGGTGTTAAATCTCACGATCTAGGCGGCCAATTAACCGGTCCCGAACGTGAAATAAAATATTCACCGAACTCGCATCTCAATAAGTACATTCTTACGCTTGCTGTGTGGCATACGGCACCGGCTTGTTGAAACCACATATCATGCAAGTCAAGCTCTTGCATTTTGGGTAAATAAAAGTTTGATTTCATCTCACGGTAGCGCTCACCATTCAGAGTTACGTTACGACTCGCTTGCTGAAAGAATTTTCGGCCGAACCTCTCTTTCAATTATGCGTTCGTTGATGTTTTTCCAACCAATGGATGGAACCACAATTTATCTCAAGCTGCCCTCGAAGGGCCGATGGATTTTTATGAGGAGTCTTCATTCTATGTCGGAAACGAAGGGCTTGACATTCCCTGCCCTAACTTATCAATAGCCTGACTTAATTCTTGCTTCATTCAAATATAAATCAACTAAGAAAGACCATGTAGTGGTAGAGCTGAAAATCGGATACTCGGCAGATATTTGTTTGCAATTACAGACTTAAATTAAGTTTTCTCGATGAGTTCCCCAAATATTTCATCTCAATCGCACTGATCGAACAAAAATAGAAGGTCCGGCATATGTGTGGTTGGAGTATTTCTGTACTTACAACCGCCACTTTTAGTAAAACTTTAATTTTCATTAAAAGAACTAGTGTAACCGAGTGCAAATCGGTGGAATAAGGATCATAGGCCTCAAATCTTATTGCTTTATTATCAACAGCCTTTTTTTTGGACGTGTGGTTTTCAATGATGCTTGCATACTTTGTTCGAGGTAGGTCTTGTCTTGATTTACGCTCAATTTGGCTTGACATATCAAAATGAACAGATTTACTCCAGAACAACGTTTGTAAATCGTCTAAGTTTATTACCAAAAGAATGGTTCGGTTCGAGCTTTGCGCTCGATATTCGACTGACATAATTGCTCGGCAGAGTCGATAATTAAAGTAGCCATGTACCAGTTTAGCTCCACGGTTTCATCCACCTAAGACGCCGTACGATGCGCACCGCATACACAATTGCTGCCGTAGAGCAGAGTATCGAATAAGAACCGGATGACCCCAACCGCCATCGCACACAATATTCCACAATATGGAAGATTTTGTGGAAATATTTTGGCTTGCGGGCTTACAAAATCTAACTCGTACATTGCAGACGAATGACAATCGAGCACATAGCGCGTTCGGTGAATAGCCGCCGATCTCGATTTTCACATGAAAATTTAGCTCAGCAATGAAGCTCATTTTTGGTAGAATTGTTACGTTTGTATACCAAGTTGTCACATTCGGACACGCCAATGTTGACGTTACATCTTCAAAGAAGTCCCTGCTTGATGTACTGTATAGGCAGCGGGTATCAGTGGCCCATCATTCTTAAAAAATTAAACCGATCATAATGTTATAGTCAATGGGAAAGGCTACAGAGACATGTTCAAAGGCCTTTTGGTGCTTGAACTGTAGGATGTTGGTGTGAATGACTTTTGATAGTATATTGAGCTTACGGAACGAGGAGTGGCTGACAGAGCGTACTATCTTATTGAAAATCATAGGCATTCTAGCATTCTAGCTTCTTAGTCCCTCCTAAAACTCCATCAGCTGTTTAAGCGATTCTTCTGTAGATGACCTTATTTGTTGGAAAATCATCAAGAGGCAAAACTCGTTAAATAATATTCCACCGAGATTAAGTTGATTGAAAGAAGAGAGTAGACCGGTCCTGAGACATCTACTATTTAGCGTGATCACGTCATGCGCCAAGTCTTGAAAAAATTCAATGTAAATTGAATTGACCTCAAGGCAATCTTAGGTAACGTTGCCTGCCTATCGCTGTGACCGAATATGGTACTGCACCATCGCTGCAAGCGCATTCTAGACAGTAGGAACTTCGACAATATATACAATTTAGTATTTTCTGTATTTCCAAGGACCAGCTTTAAAACCAACTGTACAGTTAGTCTTGGAAGTCTTAAACCGAATCACTCTTGCAACTAGTAACTCGAGCGTGTCGTGTGATTTTTAAAAGTTCCATGAACACCAAGTTTGGTCCGAAGTATCTAAGTACCAGAAGCGAAATAGAGAGACCCACCAAAACCTATACCGATCGGATCAGAACGACGAACTGAATTGATTCAGACATAACCGTCTGTTTATCTTTTTGAACGCAAACTTGTGCCTCAGTATTTTTAAGTATTTGCACCAATTTTCGTAGGCAGATCTGGTTTTCTGTTAAATAGATCATTTGTTTGTTTTGTTTGTGCCCGCATTCCAAGCCAAGGGCCATTCTAAAGGCAAAGGTTCGAGTCCTGGTCAAACAACAGTTAAAAAATGGAAAAACATCAAGACGCATACCACAAATTGGATGGGGAGCATTAGTCCGAGTCGATCTGCTTTGAGCACAATAAGATATGAGGTTTTGCATTTAAGTCCCAAGCGAATTTCGCATTTATCAAAAAATTTGATATATTCGTGACAGATTTACAAATTACCTTTCTTATTCTAATTGTTAGTTGAGTCTGGATTGTACCTCTCGTGATTTCATTTCACACACTTGCTCTAAGCGCTGAGCTGCTTTGTTTTCGGTTCCTACATATTATTTTATAAGCCACACAAAATGGTTCGATCAATGGGGAAGGTGAAGGCAGGAGCCATAGCAATATCACAATGGGCCCATTGGCCTAAGTGTGCTGGGGTTGACCAGCAGCCGCATAAACTCAACTCACCTCATATTAAATATCAAATGTACTGAACGACAAAGGAACAGATAACAGTTTTGGAAATTGAATTAAATCGATATGTGTTTATACGATCTCTATTGTTCGGCTTCTCGGAGCCTCGCAACTTGTGCCGTTTTATATACAATATATATATTAGTTCATATTTGAATATTTAGGACAATTAATATGTATTACAGCCTTGTCCTTGTTGTTACAGCATTAGATAACTCAATGAAGCTGTAGCTGTAGTTGTAGCTGTAGGGCTACTGAGCACACAGGCAGCAGACAAGGAGACAAATTATAGTACAGGTATGTATGTGTGTATGTTTTACTTTTGTTGTTGGGCATGCTTATGCGCCTAATTAAATTAATATTTCGATAATACAATCGCTTACTGGAAGTCTTCCACAGAAGCTTTGCCCATTGCCAATAAGCCCAATTTGCTTAATTAAATAAAAACCTTTGCCACTGGCATTAAAGTGTGGAAAACTGATTTTCACGTTTATTTCATTCATATGTGTGTGTGTATGTGGAACTTGTGCTCGCATTTTGCTAACGGCAAAGGTTTCAAACAAATAATATTGTTAATAATTAAAAGCAATACTTTAGTAGGCAAAATTATTCAGAATTGTCTTGAAGCTAAATATGTACGCACATACATATACATTTTGTAATATCATGCGGAATTACTGTTAAATTAATCTAAATACTTGATTTCTGAGTTTTTCTTTAGTTATTTCATGTGACCTTCGAAGCAGTTTAGTTAAACGTTTATTTAATAACTAAACTAACTAAGCATAAAGTTGTAGACAAATCCATTGGCGTATGTGTGCTGAATGGTACTGTTATGTTAACTGGTATTTTCCATGGAAATTAGCGAAGCGTTTAAAACCATTGAGGAAACACGAGTGACCCACATTACAACTGCAGACGAAGAGTAAAAATATATTTATTTTCTTTTTTACAACTAATTATGCAATAACAAAGCGTGTTGATTAGCTTAATTAACAAAGATTGCACGAAGAAACTCTTAAACTGAAAAATACAAAATAACACAACGGAATACATCAACCGAATGCATCGCGTGACAAAAAATATTTGCGTTAATTCTAAGTGTGCGGCAATGGTGAACAATATGGCTGCCTGTTAATGAAACATATTTCCAAGAGAGTTGCCACATTTTTAAAATTGTAATTTGTTATTTAATAAATGCAATATTACAAAATGGTCAGATAACGGAAAATATTAGTACTGATATATATTGTAAAATTTAGTTAGAAATATTCTTTAGAGTTACCACCTGTTTCCAAAAAAAAAAAAAAAAAAAAAAATTCCACTATAAAAGAAATCTAAAATTCGTATTTAAAAAAATTGTCAAGAAAAAAAAAGGTAAAAGCAAATTATTCTATGGTTAAATTATATACTACATTATGGGTAAGTAACTACGGAAAGTTGCCACTTCAAAATATTAAATAAAAAATATTGGATAAACAAGATTTTGTTATAAGCTAATGGCACTTAAAAGAGTAGTTTATAAGCTTAAACCATTTTTGATAGGTTCAAGCTCAAAATAATATCAGGGTTGCCAACTGTGTAGTTAATTTTAATTTAAAAGCGACAAGATAAGTAAAATGTGACAATATTGCTGTCAAAATAAAGAAATTTAAATTTTAAGCAAAAAAACAAATGTCTTGAAATTAAATTACAAAATTACAAAATAAAAGGGTTGCTACTTTTTGAAAAAACTTAGCTCATAAATTGAGAAAACCAGTGAAATACAATTATATTATCATCAACAAGTATTCGATGAGTGCATAAGTTCGAGCCCGATTTCAAGTGCAAGCTAAAATTGAAATTTTTTGAAGAAAGCGCTTTTATTAATCAATTATGTATTCGCCATCATGTTCGGCAATCCACTCCCAACGTTCAATCAATTTACGGATNTTTTTCGTTGTCCATCTTCCATGCGTCTTTTCACTAAGCAACTCAAATCAAAATGAAGTTATTTTATGCTTGATTTACAGTTCGGACTGTCACCTTTCCAACGATATATAATTTGTATATATTTCTTTCACGAGCGCCACTCTCAAACGATTCGAACGGCATCCAATGGAATCGGGCACGAACTTATGCACTCATCCAATATATGGAGCCTAACATGAAGAAAAGTATTTATAGAGTTACCACCTTTTTACAATTTGTTTATTCGATGAGGGCGAAAACTCTAGTCAAACTGTTGTAAATATAAATGGTGATAATGATTCTGATATGAATGAAGCCACTCAGTCGAAAACGTCGACAAAATCAGGGAAATCGTTAAGTCTGACCGTCATTTCTACACTGTTTTGACTGTCCTGGAGATAAACAGTTGGTTTGAAACCACTTGCAAAAGGCTGAATACACAATACAAAAAATATGAGTTAAGAAGAAAAATCCTCATAGACCAAATTACCATTTGCACATCGCAACTGAATCGTAGCAACTAGTTTTTGAAGCGTATGGTGTCTGGTGATGAATAATGGATCACGTGCAGCGACGCCAAATAAAAACGTTCATGGTCGAAAGGCAATTAGTTGGCACAAGCATTTTACCACCCAGGATTGGGAGCCTGCAAGGTTTTGTTTGGTGAGATTGACAAAGAATCGTCCGCAATGAGCTGCGGCCCTACGTTCAAACCTTTAGTTGGAACCTGCATTGTAAGCTATTGGACAGTGAGGCTTTCGCCAACAAGAGAAAAATTATATTTCACCAGGCCAACATCAGACTACAGACAACACGAGTGAGTTGTCAGAAACGCCGAAAGCTTCCGCATTCGCCTTATAGTCCGTACCAAGCACCAACTGCTCCTATCGATGGATTTAGCTGGTGAAAATTTGGTGTCAAGAGAAACCTGTGGAAGTTTTGTCACTTGCCCTACATTATCTCAACATTCCATTAAATGAACGTATTCTGAAGTGAACGCTCCAAACAGTAAGCTCTTCTCTTCTACCCACCTTTCTTTGTTCCTCTGCTACTGTCCCATTATCCTCCTGCTCTTCATCTTCATAGCCTCCATCGCTGCAATCATTATCCAATTCCGTTTGATTACGCCAAATGACTACTGTCACATCTGTCGCGCCACTTTGCCAATGGGCACGTATTCTATTTGCAATTTCTAATATCTTCTGTCCCAATACGTCGTTGCCATTGAACTCCAACACTGTATCACCGACGCGCATGCCAGCTTCTTCTGCGCTGGAACCCTCCTGTATGCCACTCACCCAGGGATAAGGATCCCAGGGTGCTCGACTCAGGTGTAGGCCAAGTGTTCCATTTGGACAGGCGTTTATTTTGCAAATTTTTAGCATTGCCGAGAGAATCAGTAGAAATCTTTCTAAATGGATGACGATGATGATAACTGGAAGGAGAAAATTAACAAAAAAGTTATAAATATTTTTAATTTACACAATATTAAATTAAATTTGAAATCAGTTAATTTAAGGGCGGATGGTGGGACCATGTGTGGAATTTCAAGCCGTGAGGAAAGTTTTTGACTGACACTCACATGGGAGTGGCGAGAAACGATTTGGTCTAAGCCCAAGTATCCTATGGGTAATATCTTCGGTGGCGAACTAAAGTGGGTCTGGGATTAACCACATGATGCAAAATACTCCAATATGAATCGAAATAAGCCTCGGACGGAAGACTCACTTTTGATGACGACTTCGGAAAATGTTTTAAGGATCACGATTTATGCATGACCTCGCTTGCAACATCAAGTCCCTTAATTCGAAAGGTGTTGCTGCCCAGCTGGTTGATGTCAAAGCAAGATTATGGGTTGACATCACTGCTATCCAATAAGTGCGATGAGAAAAGGACAGAAGAAGTTGTGTACTTGTGAAATTTGGGCTAGAAAAGAGGCTGCGTCGTCGAGTACTGGCATACACTCCGGTGGATGAACGTCTAGCCATAATCTGCATTCAAGCAGAATTTTTAGAACAACTTGCGCACTGACCCGACGGGAAAGAAGGACGCTTTTAATGAGCGACAAGAACGTGCCTATGAACAATGTCCCCGCCCAATTTTAATGTTAGGTTTGGCAACTTTACGACGGGATGGACAAATATGGTATATTTAGCACAACAGCCTCCGTAACGAAACATCAAAAACTGTCTGTAGATAATCGACTTCGCCGTGGTCCGAAATTTGGTTGTCGGCAGTACGTGACTTCTACACAAAAAGACAATAAAACCGATCATGTAATTGTCGTCTAAGGGACTGAAGGCGCTCCAGCTTTGAAAGTATTCGATGCAGTACCCGCCGCGGAAGGAGAGTAGAAGGAAGAGCTCCGTTTCGCTGGAAGGATCATGTGGAGACCGACCTGATTGATGATGATGATGAAGACAGCGTCGTGAAAGCCCAATTTCCCAACCACTATACCTATTGAGTTTCCGTCCAAGGACAGAGTGGTAAGAGCCGCAGGCTCCCACGTCGCCAACTTCCTTGTTTTCAATGAAGTCATCTTTTCTGCGGTGGACCCCAAGTCCAGTCCACAACCTCTCTAGTTGATATTCATATGTACATTTATGTATGTCAGATAAATTAAATTTAAATATTCTTTGACACATTGTAGTTACTTGCGCAACGCCCCACCCCGCACACGACTCACACTAAACCACAAAAATATGTATAGCGACAAAGAGAACAGCTGTTTCGTTAAGAGCGCGTCATCGTGACATCAACGCTGGATAAAAGTGCTTGTCACACTTGGCACTCGGCGTTCACTGCCCGATGATGCGTGTTTGTTGACGTGAATTTAATTGCCGGTTGAATTGGCACAAAGCCTTCACCTACAAAATCGGCGCTGGCAGCGAAACGACAAACGAACAATAAAAGCGAAAACACAACAACAACAACTATAACAACACAGATAACCCTTTTTCGAACGATGGACTACGACAGAAAATTCCCAACAAAATAAAATCGTACAGTGTCATTTCGACACACGTGAGTATACACCGGAGTGAAGCAACACACCTGTAAACATACAATACACACACACATACACTAGTACATGTACATATTATAGTATTTGTATGCAAAAGCAAACGCGCCCAAATGTTTATTTGATGTTTGTTATTCGCTTGCTTGCCCGCTTCGGCTGCTTGCCTATAAAAGGCACACTGGCTGTTGCTATTGTTTTTGTCGTTGCTCATGGTATTGTATTCCAGAGTATTTGTCGATCAGCTGGCTAACATTTTTTGTTGGCATTGTTGTTGCTGTTGGTGTTATTGCATAGCAAATGACATCGTTTATAGGGCGATCACGTTGTCAGCATCGAAAGTGAAGTGCAGTGCACATCCAATGAACGCATTAATAGCTCAGAGCCTCGGTGACAGCGGAGTAATTGCCTGGCTCATGTTAGCCTTCGAACGTGTTATGGGTGTTGCTGGCGAGAGAAAATGAAATTAACGCTATTCGTGTTGACCTTGAGTTTGATAGGGGCATTGTAAAGGGGTTATGTTTGCGAAGACTTTACAGTTAGTTAATGTTATTCATGTATAACGTGGTGTTTTAGCACTCTTACAGAGCGCTCTACGAATGACGATTACAGGTAAGTGCAGTCGACCGCATTTGCTTTTAGCATCTCCTTGGAAGAAATAGTGCCGCGATATCCTTCTTGTCACTCTGTTCTAAATCGAATTTATTTATTGAAATGAATTCCTTGTCCAGACTAAGAAGTTTTTCTTTTGATTGGAATTTTCTAAAAATTTCCTTTTGACTTTGGTCCTAAGTATGTAAGTGCCAGCAGGAGGAGAGACCTTGGACCCATCAAAATTTATATCTATACCATATAATATCTTTAACCGCCACTTCTTACGCATAGAATTTTGCAATAAAAAAATTTTGTTGCTTAGATACTTAAGATTACAGTAAAACATAAATTTGTACATGAATTTTTTTGAATATACATGTATAAATATAATGTGTGAATTTAAAAGCTTAAGTAAACATGAAAATGAAATAAAATTCTGATATATTTTTATGAAAAGGAAGACCTACACCCATCGCAATATTTTCTAATAGAAAATATTTTTTTGGTTTTCTGTGAGTTGGTAATTCAAGCACCAGACTACTTTTCAAACTTACTCTGGAGCAACTGAGCACGGAGGAAGCAGCTTTCTCTTAAGTTTAATCCCGCTCCTTTAGGAGTTTGACTTTGAGCTGTCGTTTATGGTTATTTCGAAACATATTTTGAGAGAATCTTAGGCATTTACATACAGTGATGAACTAAAGTATTGGCACTGCAAGATAGTTCAACTTTAATACCTTTTTTCGACCACTTATGAAAAAATTTTGAATTCCGAAAAAAAAAATGCTAGACAGAGGGACACATTATTAATTATTTTCACTTCTATTAAATTTATTATCTTTTATGTTAAATTAAAACTAATACTAAATGAAAAAACACTAATTTATACCAAACAAAAATTGGCCCACTTAAATTCCACTGGGCTTGCGCAACAGCCGAATTAATTGTTCCTAATTTTGCTCCGGTGTTAAGTGTGCTCTGCCTAATACATAATAAGGGGACCACACAGCCTGCGCCAATTATCGCGGGATAAGCCTCCTTTATATCGCCTATAAGGTTCTGTCGGGCGTAATGTGTGAAAGACCAAAGCCCACCGCAAACAAACTGATTGGATCTTATCAGTGAGGCTTTAAACTGTTAAAGCAATAAATTTGGGAAAGAGGATCGACACCTACAACCTTTTCGTCGATTTTAAAGCCACCTTTTGCAGCACGCAAATGAATTGCCTTACGATGTTTTAGACTGCATGATTCCTTGTCGTGTGCCCTTTTTAACTTGTTGCTGGAGAAAATAATAGGAGCTGAAGAGCAGAATAGAGGAGATGCAATCATCTATAAGAATGTATAGCTGCTGGATTACGCCGATGATATTGACGTTATTGGCTTCAACAATCGCACCGTGAGTTCTGCTTTCTACAGACTGGATAAGAAAGCGAAGAATATGGGTCCTGAAGTAAACGAAGGCAAGACGAAATATCTCCAACAAACCGTCATCGCAATGGTCATTTTGCTCCAACGTTGACCGACATAACTTTGAAGTCGTAGATAACTTCGCCTATCTTGGAACTAGTATCAACACCAACAACAATGTCAGGTGCCATTTCGCACTGAGTAGGCTTTTCTATGGCCTATGGTTAAGTCCTCTCTCTACGAACGAAGATCAAATTCTGTAAGTAGTTCATCGTTCCCAACCTGCTATGTGGTGTAGAGAAGTGGAGGATGTCAACATCTGATAAGTCGGTGTTAGAAGTTTTCGAGACAAAGGATTTGCAAACGATTTGCGATCCACTACGATTTGGTAACGGTGAATACCTCAGCTGATAAATTTATGAGCTGTAAAAGATAAAAGAGATAAAGGACGACATAGTTAATTGAATCAAGAAACAGTCGCTTTGGATAGAAAACAGTCTGCTGGGTAGGTCCTGTCATCCGGAAGTTTTCGATGCAGTAACCGCCGGTTGAAACATATGAAGAGAAAGATCTACACCCCCAAAGACCACTTAGATAGGGACCTGGCTCACCTTGGTATTACCAAGACCCACTTCCCGATAGAAAAATAGTTCCCATTAAGGATTCGGGCTCAAAGCAACTACTGTACCAAACTTCATGTAAATCTAACGATTTAAAAATAAACTTGACTATTCCGAATATATCGGTCCCAGGGCAACTTTTCTCCACGTTACAAGTCCTTAAGTTGTAGACTGATCCGTCAGTCATTCAGGACAAAACCTTTTATATATATATATATAGATGATCAGAACGACTCTGTCTGTCTTTTTGAACGCAATCAGGTCCCAAAGTGTTAGATATATATCAACCGAACTTGGTGCACTATTATATCCATATAATGAGTTACAAATTGGTACTGAAAATTCCATACACCGATTTGTTCAGAAATGAGGGTTCTGTCAGAGCTCCTTGATAAAAAGTATCAAAGGGCATGATATTTGCTACTGTAAATCGTACTTCCAAGTTGTCACTGAATATCAATGAAACCGTCGGCCTCCATCATATAGCCCACACGCAACCAATTTGTTTAGATGCGAGGTTTTGGTTTGAAAATCCATCAAAAGTTATCCGAGGGCGTGAAATTTAAAAACCTCGAAATCGGAAAATTTGTTATACAGCCCCTTTCCAGCAATTTTTCAGAAATGAGAATTAATATTTAGTCTTAAAATAAAATACCGCAAATTGTTTGTGTGGTCAGTAAGGAGGTAAGGTCTTCGGCCTGGCCGAAGCTAGCTCTCCTTGTTTTAGTTTTATTTAATATTTTTCTCCAACTCATCATAAAATACGTATTATTTTGCAACAAATTAGACATACTTG